AATTCCTCATGCTCACACTGGACTCTATTATCCCTTTGCTTTCGCAGGGAGACTGGTTCATAATTATTGACCTGCAGGATGCCTATTTTCATGTCTCCGTTCATCCGGACCACCAAAAATTCCTAAGATGCCATAAAGGCACAAGACACAACTCTCAATAGTCTTCAAAATCTCGGTCTCATAATCAACCTCGAAAAATCACACCTGATCCCAAAACAAACAGCAAAGTTCTTCGGCATGGAGGTAGACTCCCTCCGCGCAAGAGCTTTTCTGCCTCCAGAAAGAATCACAAAAATGCAAAAGTTTTATTTTCATGTCTCCATTCATCCGGAACACCAAAAATTCCTCAGATTCCATTTCAACGGCACCGCCTTTCAATTCTGTGCCCTCCCATTCGGGCTCTCTACCCCCCCGGACTTTCACCAAGTGCATGGCACCGGTAGCCACCTTCCTCCACCTGCAGGGAATAAACATTTATCCCTACATTGGCGACTGGTTGATAGTGGCGACATCGTACCACGACGCCATAAAGGCACGAGACACAACTCTCCATACTCTTCAAAGTCTCAGTCTCAAAATCAACCTCAAAAAAATCACACCTGATCCCAAAACAAACAGCAAAGCTCATCGGCATGGAGGTAGACTCCCTCTGCGCAAGAGCTTTTCTGCCTCCAGAAAGAATCACAAAAATTCAAAAGGCTGTCCGCCTTTTCCAAACCCATCACTCCTTTTCGGCGCATCACGCCCAACATCTTTTAGGACTCATGGCATCGACAACGGCCGCCGTCCAATATGGCAGGCTCAAAATGAGGTCCCTGCAGGCATGGTTTCTCTCCCAGTTCAACCCAGTGACAGACCTCCCGTCCTCACTGCTGTCGGTAACACTGGAGCTAGCCTCCCAAGTCGACTGGTGGACTTGCCCAGACAACCTCCTCATCGGCAGACCTTTCTCCCCCCTGTGACCTTCCATACAGGTCACAACCAACGCCAGCCCCACGGGATGGGGTGCCCACTGCCTTCAGCACACAGTCCATGGGCTCTGGTCAA